GCTGCTGTTGCTGCTGCTGTTGCTGCTGCTGTTGCTGCTGCTGTTGCTGCTGCTGCTGCTCCTCATCATCGCCATCGCTCTCGAGTATCTGCTTAAGCTTTGCTATGTCATTGTTGGACGCCTGCATCAGGCTCTCGCTGCTCTGCAGATCCGTCGCTGGCTTTGGCAAGGCGGTTAGCGAGAGCTCCTTCTCCAGTGCAGCCATCTCATTGAAGTCGCTCTCCTCGCCAGAGCAGCTGTTGTTGCTCGAATTTGATGCGTTTTTCTCGCTCTGCCCGCTGGAGCTGCTCGACGAGGAGCTAGATGACGAGCTAGTTGAACTGGCGGAGGATGATGCTGACGAGGAGGAAGAGGAGGAGGAGGACGACGACGAAGAGGAGGATGAGCTCAAGCAGATGACGGTGGCTGCAGTGGCTTCAGTGGACTCAATTGCAGCCGGATGCTCCTCCATGCTGTGGTCTAGCCAGCGCTGTATTTCCAGCTGCTTGGCCTCCATACTTGTGGGCGTCTCCTCAGCAGCTTTGATTGGCTTTTCCTCTTGCACTTCTGTTTCGGCATGCAGCTTGGCCCTCGGCGATAGATTCGTATTCTCCACATCATCGAAGCCCTTGAAGCTGCCCAACAGCTCCACGGAGTGTACCGTTTGATCTGACTCTCCACTCATATGCTCCAGCTCATGGTGCACCTGATTCTCTCGCAGCGCATAGCCACTCTTGATGACCGTCTCCCGAGCCGAGATAGCCTCCGTGGTGATCAGAGCCTTGTATTGCTTAGCCGACTCGCGCTTGATCAGCGGCAGGCGACGCTCCTTGCTGAGTGCCAAATGGCGACGAATGCGCTCGAGACGCTGCTGCCGCAGCCGAGCCAAAGCGAATCGGCGGCGCAGCAGCTTCAGCGTACGGAAATAGAAGCGATGCTTGATCTTGGGACTCTCAAACTCTAGGATCTTTAGCATCTTGATGCGATTGCGACGACGGCGCGCTAAGCGCTTGCGGCTGGCACGTGCCGCTGCTTTGGGCGCAAGCGGAGCAGGAGCAGGAGTAGGAGCAGGAGAAGGAGGAGCAGCAGCCGCTGAGAAAGCAGGGGCAGAAACCGGAGACTGAGCTGACTCCGGAGCTGGTACAGCAACTGTAGCATCATCTAAGATAGCACCTGGAGCAGCACTTGCCGTTGTGCTCTCTATGACTGCTGCCTCCGTCGTCGCCTCCTCTGCTGGATCCGTGGTCTTACGCTTGCGCTTGTAGAACTTGAAGCGATTGGCGTGATCCGGATACTCGCTGTTGAGCTGGCCATTCGGATCCGGATCGCTGTCGCTGCCCTCGTTTTTGTTTATGAACGTCTCGTACTCCTTCGCGAACGTGGACTCATTTGAGTTGCTGTTGCTCGGATCAAACTCAATTGGCGATGGGTCCGACAGCAGTTGGCTGGACAGCGGCAGTGGCAGGGGCAAAACGAGTGACTCCTCCGGTTGCGATACCACCGGCTCTCGCAGCATCTCGGCCAGGGCGTCTGTATCGCTGGGCTGGGACTCGTTGGCATCCACGCCGCATTTCTTAAGACGCAGCTCATCCAGCTCCTTTTCCACATCGAAGCTGCCGAAAGAATCCTCCACATGCGCCACACTGGACTGCGCCAGCGCTGACTTCTCGTGGTGGTGATCGATAATGATGTCCGGCAAATTCATCGACGGACACTGGGGCAACTCGTTCGCCTGGGCGTCCAGGACGGCCGTGGCCACCGGACCCGTCGGCGGCAGCGTTTCGTACATGAAGCTCGAGTGGTTGGGTGGTGCAACGGGCGCCACCACAGCCACCGTTGGCTGCTGCAGTTCGGTTTCCAAGCGTGCTGGCTGCGGCGCCGACTGATCCTCTTCGTCGTCGTTCCAGCTGGACAGAAAGTCGCGTATATTGGAGCTATTCGAGCTGGGTGGTGCCAGTGGTTGCGCCAGCGACTCTGACTGCGACTGCGCCTGCTGCTTCTGATGCTGCGCTGGATAATGTGCCGGCGCAGATGCATGCAGGTCGTAGCCCACAAAGCTGTCCACGTGAGCCTCCAGGTTGCCCAGCGGCGGCGGCGGCGCGCCACCTGCCGACAAATAGCAGCCACTGGCCGTTGGTGGTGCCCGCTTCCTGTACGTGTACTCCAAGGAGCTGGCGCTTTGGTAAGGCTGAGACCGATGCGACTGCTGGCCGGGCACTGGCACCGGCCCATAGCCATCCATGCTGCTGAGATCATTGTAGTAGGCGCTGCTTACATTAGCCTCCATGCCCACGCCCACGCCCACGCCCATGCTGAGGCCCATGTTGAGGCCCAGTGGCGGCACATAGCGCTGGCTGCTGCTGGCGGGCGCCGCTGGGTTCGGTGGTGCGCCCGCAGCGCCTGGCTGCGCATAGCCATAGCCCAGCTGGGCGGGCGGCAGTGGCTCATAGGAGCCATAGAGATCAGTCGGATGCTTGAGCTTGTGGCTGCTGGCCTGGGCGCCGCCATATTGCGATGGCTGCGAGCCGTAGCCGTTGCTGCGTGGATAGTAACAGCTCTGCTGTGGATACGGCTGAGTGCAGCAGTTTTGCCTGCTGTTGGACAGCGGATTCTCCACAGGATTGGGTGGCCAGATGCCGCGTGCAGCATAGGGCTGTGTGATGTTTGCCTGATAGGGATTGGCGGCCGCATAAGGAGCCGTTGGCTGCGACGACGCGTACTTGTCGTACTTGTAGTACAAGTCGCTACTGCTGGCATTGGGCGGATGTGGATGTGGATGTGCAGGTGGGGGTGGAGCATTCGCCACGGCATGATGATAGGCGCTGCTGTTGCCCGATATGGTGCGACAATTGGCCGCATTGTAGTCAACGTTCCAGTGGCTGGACTTGCGATAGGCCGACTCGGCGCCCAGCTCCGGCGGACTGTAGAGCGGCGCCGGTGCGCCAAAGCTCAAGCCGCCGTTCGGCGAGTAGAGAGACATGGCATACTTGTCATAGTACGACCCGGGCAACTGGGCAGTCGTGGGAGCAGCACCCGATCCTGCCGCACCTGGACTGCCGTACAGAGATGGCGGCATATTCTGATAGCGACTGCTTGGCTTGATTGCAGCATAGTTGGGCTCCAGCGGCGGCAGCTGTTGCTGTAATTGCTGTTGCTGCTGCTGTTGCTGTTGCTGTTGCTGCTGCTGCTGCTGTGTCGACATCTGTTGCTGCTGTGTCGGCATCTGTTGCTGCTGCTGGTGTTGGTTTTGCTTCTGAGCCAGGCTCAAATTGTGATATTGCTGCGTTGACTGCAGCTGTTGCTGCTGCTGCTGATGCTGCTGTTGCTGCTGTAGTTGCTGCTGTTGTTGCTGCTGCTGCTGCTGCTGTTGCTGTTGCTGTGTGTGGAGCTGTGTCGGCATTTTGTACTTGTACGCTTCATAGGGATTCGCTTGGCTCATATAGCCGCCAGCTGTCATGGGCATCGACATGGACATCGACATCGACATGCTTTGAGGCTGTGCATAAAAGGGCGTGGCTGCCGCCTGCGGCTTGCTGCTGCTCATAATATTGCTGCTGCTGCTGCTGATGTTATTGTTGCTTATGTTGCTGATGTTGTTGTTGCCGCCACTGCTGTTGCTTGTGCTGCTGCCGCCAATATTGCTGCTGCTGCTGCTACTGCCGCTGCTGCCGTTACTGTTGTTGTACTTGACAGCCGCCAGCTTCTGATAGCCACTGGGCGGCACAACTGGCGCACTATAGTTGTACGCACTGTAGTTGTACGCCTCCATGCCAGCATAGTTATAGTTCTGATGATAAAAGTGCGTCTGCTGCTGCTGCTGTTGTTGCTGCTGGTGCTGCTGGTGTTGCTGCTGCTGTCGCTGCTGCGCATCCAGGCTGGTCAATGCTTCGCTGTAGAAGGGCGCCACGGTCGCAATGGTGGCCATTGGCGTTGGCGTACCCTCGTAATGGCTGCCGGAGCTCAGCGGGGTTGTGGGCGTGGTCGTGGCACTGCCATAGCCGCTGCTGGCGCTGCTGCTGCTACCGGGGCCCGAGTTGCTGCCCACAGCAATGGCCATGGCGGCCGAGTCCATGCTGCCAGCTGCAATGACAACAACAAACGGTAAGCAAAACTAGTCGAAGGACATAAAAGAAAACTGAAATAGCGTCAAATAGCGACAGGTCAGAGCTTAAGTGCCCTACAAATTAGAGGTAATGCAGAGAATAAAGAGAATACTTGATTAATGTCATCGAGAATATGAGAGAACATCAAATTAGACATGAAAATTATTTTAAGAATGAAAATTATTCCTAGAAAAGGTTTACGCTCATGTGTGGGGGATCTAGTCAATTTTTTATGACTTTCAACACGCATTTCCTTAAGCTTTTCTATATGCCAACTATAAGATCTATAAAAATTCAAAGAAATTTAAGGGAAAGCTAAGCTAACCTGTTAAAAATTCCCCATATGTGTCCTATAGGGAATCTCTGTTATAAATCGGTTTCAATTCTTCCTATTTAGATCATAGAATGGATTTATCCCCCAAATTGCATTTATATTTCTCTGTTGCGCTTTGCTCTTTTGTAGACTATTTTTCATAAAAATCGACCAATGCTAAGCAGACATAATGAAATACAGCTCATTATGCTATTTTTGAAGGGCATTAGAACAAAACAAAAGTTGACAATTTACACAAATACATGCACATACATATGTTTGTGGAAGTGTAATGTGTGTGTATATATGTATGTATATATGTGCATGTACATGTATGTAATGCCCTCTTTGTTTACAGTGTACCCAATTTGTCCCTTCTTCCACCCCTCTACCTTACACACACACACACACACACACATAGGAAGACAAACACATGTGCGCTGCACTACAGGAAAAAGCAATTATTCCATGGCATTTAAATGAAAAATGGAAAAGGCCCCAAACCTAACCTCTCAAAGCCCCGCACCCACTACCTCCCCCCTTGGCTTTTGTTGTCGCCGTTGTTGTAGCTGCTTCTGCTAGCGACTTTAATGGTCATAAATGTCGCATTTCGCGGCACTACGAGCCACGCGCAGGTCCTCATTCAAGTGTGTCAATGGGGTTGATGTCTAAATGCTGGCCAGCTGTATGGGAATAACCCAACCTTCCCTCTTTGCTGGACACCCGCCAACCCGTTCAGGTCAGCGAAATGAAACGTACTCGCGTCAACTTTGTGAAATGCGATTGTTCATTAAATATTAACGATTGCCGCCACCAAACGCTAGCATGGCCAACATGACGGATGAGCAATGCACAGTGGATTCAATTAATACTAAAGAGCTAGACAACAAAATGAGTTACATTAAATAGCTCAATAGGTTATGTAGGAGAACTAAAAGTGTGAATTATGTGAGTGGAAATATGTAGCTACAAAATAAAAAATATTTTTTAATATTATTTAAAATAATATATATAACAGTTTCTTTCTACTCGTAATCTATCACAAATGTTCAAGAAAAATTCTTGAGAATGGCATCCAATAAAAAATGTCTAAATATCGGCTTAATATATATTAATAAACTATATTTAAATATTTCTAATTCAGGAATTGAGGAATATGTATATAAAATTAAAAATGATTGCTCTTACTCTGCGTTATATATGTTGGAATATATAATTCAAATTTAATTTAATTCGATTTTACAGTTTTCGAGTTCAACACATTTAAGCAGACGGACAGACAGGATAATTTGACTAGATCGACGCCAATTTTACGATTACAATTATGTATTTTTCATATGCTCTTCGCAAAGTAATTATATGCATTAATCCATCAGCTGGCCTTTTGACCCACTGTGCAAGGGGACAGTGGGCCGACGACAGCATGTCTGGAGTACACGATTGGGCGTTACGCCGGACGATTCTCAATGTCAACGCCCACAACAAAGTGTGCCACACACGCATACACACAGGCTCACACACGCACACACACATGGACATCAAAGTAGTGATATTAATTGCGGTCTGCCACTGTCCCCTCGGGCCCTCGGCCCAGCATAAATAATGAACTGCGTTTAAGTCTTTCCCACTGACACACAATCCGACGACGATGATGATGATGACGGTGATGATGATGACGATGTCGTCGACGACGCTGACCACCTGTGACCAGCAGACCCAGCAGGCAGCGGTCAGCGAAAGCGCAAGTGGCAGCTGCTGTTGCTGCCGCCGCCGCTGCCGCTGTTGCAGCCGATGTTGCCTCCGTTGTTGCAGCACGTACACGCCCACCTCTCGCCCGCTTGCGCTGGCAGTTCGCATGGTAAATGCAAGGCGGCGCTGTAGCCCTGTAGTACACGGAATCCATTATGTTAATTCACTTTCGTTTGTTCGCGAGCACACGTCTCTCTCTTATATAGCGATTGTTGGCCATACGCGCCGATATATATGGCCTGGTGAGCCGAGGAGCTGGTTAGCTTGATGATGGCTAACAGATTGGATTGGATGCCCAGCACTAATCACCTAATGGTCAACTACGCAGGTCACAATTATTGATGGGCTTTTAATCTAATTGAGCGTAGCCAAGTGGCCAAATCATCATCATTATGCCAATCGATAAATGAGATCGCGATCGAAATCGTATTGCCATTGGCATTAAGCTGCAAAATTTTGAATACCATCGGGAATTTTGATATAATAATATGCAATTTTATAATGATTATTGAAGAGCAAACTGATGGAGGCACAGAGCTTCTGAATACTCTAAGATCTTAGCAGCTGGAATAGAACCTGATATGGTAAACAGCAAAAGTCTAGGGAATATAAGACACATTCAAATAACTTTAAATTTCTCCATTTAGAAAAGAAAGAGTTGATTACTTCGGAATTTGTAGGAATTAAGAAGCTTATGAGCTTATACCTAATAATCCTTAGCTTGATATATAATAATACATAAAGCATAATAATGTGATGCCGCAGCAATAATATATATTTCGATTCCACACACCAATATGTACATAAACACATATTTATGTAAACAATATCTGTAACAAGTCCCCTTAGCATAACATCACTTAAATATTACTTCTCCAAGAAAAACTGTATGATTAAAAATTATAAATTCTCCAACTTCATATTCATTATTTAATAACATAATGATTATAACCTTTTTCAAAGTATTTTCAGTAGATTTAAAGTTAACTTTAAGACCAAAAAGCACAATGCTGATATTCTTCCTTTCTATTTATGTATGCATATAGATAATATGAACCAGGCCAGATGTTAGATTAAATTGAGTTATTCCACAAACAAACTGTTGAATAAAACAACAAACTTGCACCGTAAACAACACAATTTATGCACAAATCGAAAGCGACTTCAGAGACGACACAATTATGTTGCCATATGTTGATGTTCAAGGCGACAGAGCAAGAGAAAAACGCGCGCAACAGCTTCACTCACACATACACACATATACAGAGAGAAAGACAGAATGAGAGTGAGAGAGAACGAGAGAGGTTTCACATTACTGTAGTTGATGGACCGTGCACGTTTTTTGACCGCACTCGATTGTGTAGTCTAGTTACAGGCTGACATCTGCCAGCGCTGCGTATGGGTAATTTTTTTAAATTAAATAACTCGATATAAAACCCAAGCACAACAACAACAAATACGAAAACAACGAAATTCTATTTAAACTCTTAGCAGCGTTTTTGTGGCTTTCGAATGTGTGCGCGCGAGAAACTTTTTCATCTGTTGCCGCAACGTTAGAGACGCAACGGAATGTGTGAATTGTGCGGCTGCGGCTGCGGCTGTCGTCGACGCAGATGCTGACGCCAACAGTGACGCTGGCGCCGCTGTCAACGCAGGCGACACATACAAACAGAGCGGAAAGTCCTGCTTAAAGTAGGGCGGGTTCAAGCAAGTGTGTGTGTGTGTGCGAGAGAGAGAGAGAGAGAGAGAGAGAGAGAGACTGAATGAGTGAGCGCTTTTATTGTGAATGTGTATGTGTGCTTGTGTATATGTGTGTCTGTTTGTGTGTGTTGTTTTGCTTGGGAAAACAAGTGGTTGCCGTGGTGAGAAAACGTGGCGCACACAACTAAAGCGCCGGCTGGCCAGCCCCAAAGGGTTTGGTTATCGGGGTGGATAGTGGGCAGGGATAGCTGGTACCTGACGTCTCTGCACATTTGACAGCTGAAGCGCCGGCGGAAATGAAAGGCGTACACAAGTACACACATGCAATACGTACACTCATAAGCAAACATGACAGTTGCATGGATACACAGTGGGACAATATTACCAAACAGAGGAATTAAATAAAAAAAAAAAAAAACCCAATCTTAAGCGGACATTCAATAATAAAAGCAAGGGGCCCCAGTGGATGCAATATATAAATTGATATTTATTGTCATAGATAAGAATAAAGCTTAAAATAAGAATGATTGAACTTTTAATCTACATTTACTAAGTGAGTAATACTGACTATGTTGAATGAAATTCTTGTTTATTCATCAAAATATAATATATATGTATAAATATCTAAGAAAATATTCATGCCAATGTCTTCGGATGCTTGATATGAAGCAAAACGCAAACAAAGCCAAAGTTATGTCCTGGATTTTTATAACCGAGCGTCACTGTGCGACGGCTGAAATGCAGAACACGCTCCCATTATGGGAGGCAACGCGCCGTTGCCTAACGGTTCGATGGTGAAGCGTGACAAACAAGCGACAGGCGAACGACGCAGCTGTTAACTGCAGCAACAAACAAGACAAGTAGCAGACAAACAAACAAGCAAAAACAAAACACGAATTAAGAAAATATACGGCAAATTATTTGAGCCGCTGGCGTTGACAGGCCAGGTGAAAATATAGGACCAAACGTGGCTACAAAGCAAATTAAATAAATACAAAACCGAAAAAAGAAAAGAAAAGTAAATAAATAAAGTAATGCAGCAACAGCAACAGAAACTAATTGATATGAAAACAAAGCCAAAAGAGGTCTTGCGGTTGCGCCGCAAAAAGAGAATTGGCAAAAAAAAATATATACATATATGAAGCAAAGAAAAAATAAAACACTCACACTCAGGCGACAAAAGAGGCAAGAAAATGAAAAACAACGGCAACCATAAAAGCAGCGCAATCAAATGATAATAAAAAAAAGCCGCGATTACAGTGACAGCAACAACAATACAGAAATCAAAAGCAGCAAAGTTGGCAGCGCAGTCGCACTGACACACACACACACACCCGCAAAAACAGCGAAATAATACAGTTGTTGATTATGCATGCGTGAGTGAGTCTCGCGTCGCCCAAAGGTGAAACCAGAATAGAGCAAAAAACAAGCAGCAACAAAATAGCAACAGCAACGGCAACAGCGGCAGCGACAGCGGCGTTGGCGCCGAAGCCACAGAAGAAGCAATAGCAATTCAAATGCAAGACAATATTCAAAAATCGAACAGCAAAGCGAACGTAAAACAAAATCAACAACAACAAAAGCTAGAAAGGCCGAAGTAGAAAGAAAAGACACACGAGCGGAAGCACAGGGTGAGGGAAGCCACCATAAATATTGATTGAAAATCAATAGGTTGCGTTCTCTCCGCCGTCTGTTTGTCATTTTGTCATTTGCCGTCGTGAATTGAAGCCCTTTGCGCACTACCAGTCCAAGTTCCAACCCACCGGCACAGTTACAAACGCATGTACATAAATACGTGCATACTTATACCCATGTATACATGTGTACACACTGTTATACAGCTGTATTTCCATATATGTATGTATGTACATACATATATACAGATGTATGTATATACATACATATGTACGTATACGTATGTATACATATGCATGCGTGCTGCTAGCGCTGACAAGCTCAGCTTGATAATTTAAACACGTACACTACCCCTGCCAGGCGGTAGATACACTTACACACGCATATATGCTGCTACACATACATACATGCATACATACATATCGAGTAAAACAGACGGGAAAACACAACAAAAATAACAACAAAATGTCAACACACTTTTGCTGTTGCCGCTGCCATTGTTATGGCTTGTCTGAATTTGTGCGCATGTGTGTGTGTGTGTTGGGGCATTTTGGGCTGTAGGCTGTAATCAACATCGTTGCTGTCGCTATTGGGGCGCAAAAAAAAACATGCCAAAAGAACAGAATAAGTAGAGCACCCCAAGACTGCGTCGACTGCGACGCTGGCAGCATAAGCCACACTCAAAGCAGAGATAGAAGGAGAATAGCGCGAGAGACAGAGAAAGAGAGAGTGAATGTGCATGTGCAAGAGAACACAGAGGGGGCAGCATGAAGCCAGCGTATGCACTGAAGCAGCAAATAAACCACGTATTCACATACACATACATATAGAAGAGCGTACGGCATTCATAAAGCACACACTACGTTAATATTACAGACTCACACACTTACAAACATACATACATACAAATACGAACCTCAACAGTTTTTCGACATTTTGTTGCTATTTTCGCTGTCTCTGCCAACGTCGCGTCGTGACGATGCGTCGCTGCTGCTGCTCACTTAAACGTTCTGCCGTTTGTTATTTTGTTATTGTTGCTGTGTGTGTTTGTTTTGTATCTCCCGTTTCGCTTGATTATATTGTTGTTGTGCTGCGCTATGTGCACTATTAGTTGTGATATAATTTGATATTATTCCTGTTGTCGTTGCTGCACTTGTTGTTGTAATTGTTGTTGCTGTGAATTTTTATTTATTGCATTCAATTATCATTTTTCTACGCACCACACATGTAAACACACAACGTCAACGTTGACGGCGACGCGGCTGCTCTGCTGTTGTCTGGCACAAATTTTCATTCGCCAAGGTAACTGATAATACACTCTATTTTACTTGTTTTGGTTACCGCTGTTCTTCTTGTTGTTGTTGTTACGGCTGTTTTGTAAAAAGATACGTTTATGAAACAATTTTGGAGTAATTTGGTGGCCTCTGCTGCTGCTACTGCTGCTGCCGCTGTCGATGGCGCTTTTTGCACGAATTCAAGTTAGAGATACAGATACACGTACACAAAACGCGACTTTGAATGCAGCCGGCATTGACAGCGTTTTCAATTATTATGATTGTTGCTGTTGTTGTTGTCGTTTTTGTTGCTGTGATTGCTGTTGGAGAGGGGCCCGCGGCAGAAGACACTATACGAACGCTGTACAGGTGGCAGCAGCGTGGCGAATTGAAATATCAGCGCGTAAATTGTAGAGAACTAAATATAACCGACCCATACAATATAGAGATGTACTAGTACATATTTGTATGTACAAACATACATATATACGAGGAACGTAGACGTAGTAAATATAAAAGTTAATAACAACGCAAAGAAATAAACACACACACACACGAACGAACGAACCGTCGAACGAACCAACAAACGGACGTGCGCTCTGTCTGAAAGTCGAGATACGAATGAGCAACGGTAAAAAACGGTGAGCCAGAGCAGAAGCACGCGCCAAAACGAAAGCTAGTAAAAGTTTAGAGCGCGCGAGCTGTTCTCAGTGTTTTGCGTATCTACATATGCATATGTATCTATGTGTGTGTGTGTGTGTGTATGTGTATGCGTGTTTGGTGTACTGCAGAGAACCTCATACAGGTGTTTTAAGCAGGTAATTGACTGACAGCCATGGCATACATAAGCCAGAGTTGGTGCTAATTGAACATGTTATTCTTTATTTACAGTTAACAAAACAAAAGAGTACCGGCTCATAATTAGTTGGTAAATGTTTCTATTCCGTTGTCCCCAAATTTGCGCGCCATAAATAACTAAGAGTTGCAAGCCTAAAAAACACTGTGCTGCCAGCCTGACGTAAGAGAAACGCAGCGCTGCCAGACGGTCGGTGGTAAGTGATTTAAATACGCGAAAAGTGCTGCCACTCTACTGATTTAAGCGATATGTCTTGTCGATTACTGTGGAAGACCCAAGCGTAAATAGCGACTGCGTCCATTGTGAAAAATTTTTTCTTTTGATAAGAAATCGCAATCGCGTAATTGAAATATGGCTGAAGAGTGGCAAAGTCAAAACTTTCGTCAAAATGTGATTTCCAAAATGTAAGTAAGCAGTTCGCTTATGCATAAGCAGTTTTAATGGAATTTTGCCATGGGTTTCACAGCCACGACATCTTGCCCCAAAATGGACAGGACTCGAATAAAAATGCTAGCATGATGGAGAATCACATATTTCGGAAGTCTCGCACTAAGGATGAGTATCTGGGGTTGGTGGCCAAATTGTTTATGCATTATAAGGATGTGTCGCGAAAGTCCCAGGCACAACAGCAACAACAGCAGCAGCTGCAACAACAACAGCAACAGCAGCAACAGCCGCCGCCTAATGCCGAGATGGGGCAGCAAAATATAATGCAGGATCCATTGAATGCGCTTCAAAATCTGGCTAGCCAGGGCAATCGAAATCCTCAATTGATGCCAATGGGCGGGGCTCCGGGACCAAATCAAATGGCTGGTCCAGGTGGCCCAGGCACTGCATCCAATTTACTGCAGACACTCAACCAGCAGAGGCCCGGCCAACAACAAATGCAACCGATGCCGAATATACGCGGTCAACTGCCCATGGGCGCTGGCGCTGGTGGGCAGCAAATGGTGCAAGTGCAGCAAATGGCTGGAGGCAATGGACCTGGCGCAGGAGGCATGCAGCTGAATGCCATGGGTCCTGCTGTGGCGCAGGGCCAGGGCCAGATCGTTGGCAATGCAGGCGGAATGCCCAATCAGATGGTGGGCCCGGGACCTAATAGTGGACCTACGGGTGGTGCAACTGGTGGCATGCCCAATCAAATGTCGCCCATGGTGGTAAGCAGAGGTCATGTCATTATGTATGTATACTAATACCTGCCGCTCTTTTAGATGGGCATGGGCAATCCGATGATGCGGCTAAATCAAGGCATGCAGGGCATGCCCTCTAATATGCAACAGCAGCACAATGTTGTCGGCGGGCCGGCTGGGCAGCAACAGGTGGGTGGGCCAGGTGGCTTGCCACCGAACGCAGTGCAGCAGGGCGGAGCTATGAATCCCCTGAATGCCATGGCTGTGAATATGCCACCCAACATGCAGCAGAAGCCGAATATGACAATGGGACCAGCGGGCCAAATGTTTCCGGGCAATCGAGGTGGCGTTGTTGGCGGCCAACAGCAGCCGCAGCAGCCCTTCATGCGTTCCAGTCCCTCACCAGCGGATGCCCAGCAGTTGCAACAACAGCAACAATTGCAGCAGTTGCAACAGCAGCAGCAGCAGCAGCAGCAACAGCAGCAACAACAGCAGCAACAACAGCAGCAGCAACAACAACAGCAATTGGTGGGCAATCAAACGCCCACTCAGCAGCCGCCCACACCACAGATGCCCACACCACAAATGATTCCCAGTCCGGCATTGGTGCCCCAGTCCAGTCCGCAAATGATGATGCAGAACCAACAACGCAACATACGGCAGCAATCGCCGAGTGCGTCGATCAATACGCCCGGCCAAGTGACGGGCAACAGTCCATTTAATCCACAAGAGGAAGCCCTCTATAGGGAAAAGTACAAGCAGCTGACCAAGTACATTGAGCCACTGAAGCGCATGCTGGGCAAGATTAGCAATGATGGAACCAGTGAGCTGTCTCTCATATTCTATATATGTTATATTAAATAATGTATTCCACTTGCAGATGTCGAAAAGATGACCAAGATGAGTAAGCTATTGGAAATCCTCTGCAACCCGACGCAACGTGTACAACTGGACACGTTGCTCAAGTGCGAGAAGGCGCTGGAGAAAATGGACCTAGTCTCATACTCGGGACAACAGTTTGGCGTAAGTGGATGCTCGTATTAAAAGACCTCCAACTAACTCTTTTCCAATTGATTTTCAGAAATCGTCTAATCCGCTGCTGGAGGTCATCAATACCACACTACAGAGCCCGTTGGCTAATCATACGCTGCATCGAACTTTCAGGCCCAGCTTGGAGCTGCTCTTTGGCACAGATATTTGTGCGCCAGTGGCGCCCAAGAAGCCGCATCTGGAGGAGAAGTCGTCGCCATTTGAACAAGATGTGCCGCACGTGTTGCAGGGCGAAATAGCTCGCCTGGATACCAAGTTCAAGGTCAAGCTGGATACAACTGCCCAGAACAACAATAGGGCAATACGTTTGATCTGTTGCCTGGACGATAAATGTCTACCCAGCGTTCCGCCAGTGAGTGTGAGCGTGCCGGAGGAGTATCCATGGCAATCGCCCGACTGTTCGCTCACCGAACAGGAATATTCGGCAACGCCGTTTCTGCAGACCGTGCAACAGGCGTTGATCGCCCGCATGTCAAAGTTACCCAAAAACTATTCGCTGTCGCACCTATTGGACACTTGGGAGATGGCCGTGCGACAGGCTTGCTCTCCACAAGCCAAGCCCCGAGCCATGTGTGAGCTGACCACGCTCCTGGGAGTTTAGGCTTTCGAATCTCAGTTGATGCGAAGAAATAGTTGGATTGAATATATACGAATATGCAATACCCTAGCAAATATTTTATACATGAGCTGCTGTACTGATGCATGAAAGTAATTGATGACTTATAATTGTAGATAAAATATAGATGTTAGGCACAAAAGCATGTTAGGGTAAGATTATGAGATTGTAAATATAATCAAACATTTCCAACCCATTTCAAAGACGTGGTTTAAATTATTGTATGGAAAATATATTTTCACATAGTATTTGTATTCTTCTTTTTTCTATATGTTTTCTTGAGATTTGGACCTTTGATACTATTTAGGTATACCAGGTATCTTTTCTTCGCATGCAGCAATAAATACATTTTTGATCAGATTTAAAAATTTCAGAGCGATAATTATTGTACAATAGAAAAAGTGTTAAGAAAACTTAAATATCACAGATTTTGTAGCTATATATATAGTTTTATGCACTAGGTATAATCAGAAGAGCTCTAAACTTAAATGTGTGCGAGGAAAGTGTGTGAATGAATAGGTGTGAGTGTGTGTGTGTGAGGCGTGCCCACGTGCTTATATAGGGATAATTTGTATGTGAAGCCTAACATAACGATGACAAGAAGTAGCTCCTAACTAAAACTTAAGACTACGCCAGCCGGCCCGCATGTGGATCTGCTCCAGAGTTTGCACGATTGAGCTGGTCATACTGTGTCGAGGTGAGATTGTGGATGATGGTTGCCGATGATTGCTTATCGGCTGGCCACAAATGTACCCACAAAGGTACCCAATGTGGACGCCTGCTGCTGGAGTCGCAGCAGATCCTGTGCGCTATAGATGTGCAGACTGCTGGGCGAGTGACTGGATGTGGCGGGCGTTTGTACTGGACTCGAGGCGCAGCTGGAGCTGGAGTTGGAGCTGTTGGCGGCGGTGGTGGTGGTGGCTGGTGCAATGGCGCGCAGCTGCAGTGTGGGTTCACACATTGCTGCCGCAGCAGCGGCAACTGCCTCGGCGGCCGTTGTGCTGAAGTTTACATTGCGATTGACACCGTTCGCCTTGTCCTTGTTGTGGCGCTTGACGTGCTTGGAGAGATGATCGCTGCGCATGAACTTCTTGGAGCAGACGATGCATTGGAATTTCTTTTCGCCGGTGTGTGTCCGCTTGTGGCGCGATAGCTCGTCGGATCGAGAGAAGCGCTTGTCGCAATTTTCCCACTTGCAGATAAACGGACGCTCGCCCGTATGGACGCGCTGATGGGCTTTCAGATGGCTGCTCTTGAAGTAGTTCTTGCCGCAGTCCGGGAAGCTGCACTCGTAGATGCGACTGCGTGTGGCTGCTGCCTGGGCGGCGGTAATGCGTTTGCCTGCCAAAGAGCAGGACGCTGAAGAGGAGCATGAGGATGCGGAGCTAGAGGATGTGGACTGGCAAGGCGATGGTACATTGACAGCGGCGGCAGCGGCTGCAACGTTGCTCAGGATCAGCAGCTGTGAATCAGGAGCGGGCGCTTGTATATAGACAGGGCAAGCTGCTGTTGCGTATGTCGCCTGAGGCAGCTGTTCCGTAGTTGTTGGCTTTGCTGTTGGAGTAGGTGTAGCTGTGGCTGTGGCTGTAGGCAGCACCACCTCGGCGGCACGTTTGCGATTCATTTTGTACTTGAGATTGCGCCAAACGTTCTCCTCCGGATAGTCATCGGAAATGGGAGTGGCGAGCGCGGCAGCAGAGCAACTGCTCGAGCTGGAGGTGGATTTGGAGCTGTTCTCCTCATTGGATGAGCTGACGGTGCCTAGACTATTCACTCGCATGATGACGCTGACACGTTGAGCAAGGGCTTCGGCATCCTGGTCGTGCTCCGACTTCAGCTGTTGCTGCTGATCTGGCGGCGGTGTCAATGTGACTGCTGGCTGTTCTAGGCGCGCCTTTTTGCAGGGTCGCACATCGCTGGTATCGTCCTCGGTGTCCGAGGGATTGGGCGTGATGATGCCATTCTTTTGGCTTTGCTGATTGGCGACCAGCTTTAGCTTGGCCTTCAGCAGATTCTCGCTGACCAGTTGTTTGTCCTTGGCCGCCTGGAAGAAGCAAAAGCAGAGGAGAGAAGCATTCGATTAGTAACTGGGTTCAATAAACGAAGGCGGGCGAGTTCACTGCCTCTGGCCCCGAAAATACAATTCACATTCACATTCACTTTTTCCCTGTCTGACGTTGACCTACAATAACTTTTTGGCGAGTGCAAAAAACCCCCAAGAGAAAAATTCGCTAATTATGTGGGCGGGCGTCGGCATCAGCGTCAGCGGCGACAGCGACGGCGACGCCGGCGTTGGTTAAAAGCGGCAAGGCCGTTCACATTTAACCTTAACCCGACGCAGCGGCCCCCACGCAAATTTGGTGCGCCTAACGTGGGGTTAATGCCATTACGATATTATGACTTTATGATATACTCAGTAAGCCTCACATCAAATAGCATACAAAATGAGTCATTTAAAAAAATTTGTCTCGTGATACTAAATATATATATATACATATTTTATATATATTTTATTTAGCGAATAGCTAAGCGGAATTTCTTACAGGGTATCAACTAGTCTTGATCGTATTTTCTGACACTCTTCTGGCAGTTTGTCTAACTGTTGAGAGCCACTGCGGCGCCTTTCGAATTAGCGGCACAGCCCAAAAGCATGCACTACAAATTTGAGCAGCATGCGTCGCAGCTAGCAGCGAAACTGTTTTTTTTTATGGGCTCGGCAAGTTGCCTTCGTTTTGTGCGTGCGTGTGAGTGTGTGTGTCTGTCTTGTTTGTTTGTTTGCTCGCTTGTGCACCCGATAAGCAGAAAAATGTGACATATTTTATATGAAGCGTCGCTGTTGAAGTCTCTGCCTGTCTGGGGCTTGGTTTTGTTTGTTTTTATACCGCTTGCTGTTTCTAATTGACAACGCACCTTCGCACAGTCTATACGCTCACGCACACATACACTCACTCGGGCAAATGCTCTCAAACAATTGTGCTCTGACTACGTCAGCAGGCGGCTCTCTTTAAGACGCTCTCAGCAAAAAATCAGACACACACACACACTCATATACATTTGCAGGCAAGGCGCGCAAATAACTACGACAGTTCCACATTGCCGTGGAGTCCAATGTTCGCCCTGTGTGTGTGCATGTGGTCTATATATGTATGTGTGTGTATGTGGTGTATCACTCGCTGTGCATGCGGTGTTCACGTGAAAGCGTGCCCGCTGCGTGATCGCATAGCGTTACTGCGGTGCGAGCGAGATGCGAGACTTTTGTTTTTAGAAACGCGACGAGTGCAAGCAGGCAGGCACTACGCTTAATGGTTTGCCTTGCCATGTACTTTTTTTTGTTGCGTGATTTGTCAAAAGCGAAGGCGTGTTGTCTGGGGGCACGAATAAAATGCGGGAATTTGCTGTAACTGTATATACGAGTGCAAGTCTGTCTCTGTGTGTGTATGTGTGTAGGCTGCATTTTTTCGCATTTAATTTTAATTAGTTTGCACTGCACTCATTTATACGCCTCACTTTGTAGGTCAATCTCTTGCGAGCTCTGAGTCACTTGGACTTACATTTTCCACTTTGTTCTCTCGCAGCGGGGGCGTTGCAGGCGGTGATGGCAGCAGCAACGTATCCATGTCCATTGTATGTGTGTGTGTGGGTGATAAATAATTATCTTTTGTTTTATTTTTATTTAGATGCACTTTGCACTTGCACACTATCTTTGGCTCCTGCACCAAGTATTGTTGCAGGGGCACTGGAGTTTATATATTTATTTAATAATTTTTAATTTCTCTTTCAGTTGGTGTCCGCCTTATCACTTATCTAAATCGGTGTTAGCACTTTTGATTTACACAAGCTTTTAAGGCTGGTTGCTTATAAAGTTTTTTCTTTCTTTTTATTTCACTTGAAGCGGCTGCTAGAGGAGACCGTGTGAGCGAACCGTAGCGTTCAGAATTCAACAGACGAATGAACAAAACACAGACTGCGAACTTCCACCAGACCATCGCAGTCGCAGTCGCAGTCGCAGCACACACACAAGCACAAACACAGCCACAGACGTACACGGTAAGAGAGTGTGAGAGATGGGAGCGCACGTTGCCGACGTAATCAGTTGTAAGTGGGCTGCTCGTCAACGTGCGCGGGTGTGTTGGGAGTCTCTCTTTAAAAATCGTCATCGAACGAGTCGGCAAAGCAACCAGTGCAATGGGAGGACACAATTGTAACTGCTTTTCCAGGCCAGGCGTTGGCAACGTGGGCAGCGCTTGCTAGAGGCGTGCGTGTGTCACGACCCAAGCACGAGCTTTAACTCAAAACCCACGACTTAATACATACATGACGAGCACGAGACGCAACATTATTTTATTTGTATTTGTTCTTTGATTTGATTGATTAAACTCGATTTTCAGCTAATGTAGACACATTGTGTTGAGCTGATTTCTTGTTATCTATCGCTAAAGGATCGTGACACGCTCTCCACTTTTGCTGGCGATTCGACAGTACGCCTCCGCAGCGGGGTGACATTTAGCTGAGACATGGAGCTCGTGTTGGCGGCAAAAAGGTCAGGTCTGTGCCCACGCACAGTGGGCCTACCCGGCTGAATGGTCGAGTGGGAGAGAGAGAGCGCACGTAACGAGCGCATGGACGTCATCAGCTGTTTACCTCAGGGCAATGAGCAGCGGGGCGTTTGGGGGAAATACAAAATTCCATGGAGCTATCTATTCATAGCCGCTGTTCATGCATATAAAGCGTGCAAAGCAAAGACAGCACTCCCATACACACATATGCGTGCATGTATATACATACATATATGAATATGTTTGTAGTTGTGAGAGGCCTACACAGACACACCCCGAAGCCATGGCTGAGTCTAAGGCCCGGCCGTCCCATTGACGACGCCGCCAAAGCTTGAAGCTGCGGCTGACGCATTTGTTGCTACGGAAGTTCGTGATTAAGCGCTTCGAGAAGAAGATAAAAGAGACGAATAAAAAACAGGCTAGAGCTCAGACTGGTCAGTGGCATCGGCCAGACAGCCGATATATACATTGGATCAAAAATATATTAGCCAGGCT